CATTCGATGTTATTCATGATGACATATAAAGTCCTTGTTCAATAGCTTTTATACATGGCAACAAGTATTTTCTCACCATCGTTGATGATCATTCACGTTATACATGATATTCCTTATGAAGTTTAAATCTGAAATACGTGATTGTCTTATAAACTTTATTGCTTATGTGGAAAACCAATTTCAGAAAATTGTAAAATGTGTTAGAAGGGATCATGGTTCCGAATTTATCATGGAGAATTATTTTGAATTCAAAGGTATTGTGCATCAAACTTGATGTATAGAAACTCTGAACAAAATAGAATTGTTAAAAGGAAATACAGACATATACTCAAGGTCACTTGTGCTCTCCTATTTCTCTTACTCAATAGTTTTAATGTTATGTAGCTAATCACCTTGTATATTTGATTAATCATATACCCATACCATTTCTCAATAATGCTACATCTTTTGAAAAATTATACAATAAGACTTGTTTGTGATATTGCCAACATTAAGGTTTTATAATTTTTAAGTTACATTAACATTCTCGCTGCTCATAGAAAGAAATTTGATGCTAGGGCCAACTTTGGTATATTTTTGGGTTTCAAAAATAATACAAAAGGTTTTCTTGTTTTAACTTTATGACCTTTAACGTAGAGGTATCAAGAAATGTAAAATTTCATGAAAATTACTTTCCTTATATTGAAAGTTGAACTTACAACAATACTGAGTGCACTTCGGTTCCTTCACATGTTGGTTCTCATTCTGAATATTATGATTATCTGCATAATTCACATTTTTTTACAGACAATAATAATACCATGGTCAGCACCTCATCAACCAGGATTGATGAACAAAACTTCAATGATAGCACTATAATCAATGCCCCAAGGACTAATTAACTAATGAGATCACCATAATAAGCACTCCACAAAGAAGAACCACTCGTATCAGACAAGCCCCAACATACTTACATGATTATGATGTATCCATAAATTCATCTAGATAAAATAAATCATCATGACATATGATAATCTCTCTTCTTCTTTTAAGAAGGTCATACTTGCTATCGATGATGACAAAGAACCAAAATCATATGAAGAAGCTTCAAAATACTCACACTAGAGAAAAGTCGTAATGGAAGAAATTTTTGCACTAGAAAACAAAAACACCTGGAGAATCACTACATTACCTCAAGGCACCAAAACTATAGGATGCAAATGGATATTCAATATCAAAGGTAAAGTTGATGGAAGCATGGAGAGATTTGTTGCCAAGGGATATTCTCAATAGGAAGGTCTTAATTTCCTTGATACTTTTTCTCCTGTTGCTAAGCTTACCACTGTTAGGACATTACTTGTTGTTGTCGCAATCAACAATTGGCTTACCACTGTTAGGACATTACTTCTTGTTGTCCCAATCAACAATTGGCATCTCAAACAATTAGACATTAATAATGCTTTCTTGATAAATATGTGAGAATGTGTAAATGGATGTTTCGCTTGGCATGGAAGGTATCTTATCACAGAAGGTATGTAAATTACACAAGTCTTTATATGATCTTCGTCAAGCTAGTAGGCAATGGTACGAGAGGTTCTCCAATTTTCTTCTTTCCCATGGTTAGACCATTCATCAATAGATATCATTCATTATTTTTAAACTATACTTATGAATGCAATACAATAATTTTAGTATATATTGATGATATCATTCTCTCTTCAAAAAACAACAGTAAAGAGATAGAAACCATAACCAAATTTCTTGATGAAACCTTTAGAATAAAGAACCTTGGCAATTTAACCTATTTCTTAGGTCTGAAGGTTGCTAGAAATAGTAATGGCATTCACCTTAGTAAGAGAAAGTATATTTTGGATCTTCTTAATGACATTGAGATTATTTTGTGTGCTATTGTCCCCATGCCCATGAACCTGTCTACAAAGTTTTCTTCCAACACTGACAATACCTTATCTGATCCTTCATCATACAGAAGAATTACTGGAAATCTATCTCATCAATACTAGGCTTGACATCACACATATTGTTCATCATCTTAGTCAATTTGTTTTAGCTCCCACTACCATCCATCATCACAGGATAATGAGGATTCTATATTATCTGAAGCAAACACCAAGCAAAGGAATTTTTCTAGCTGTCAACAATGCTTTGCAACTCAAAGCTTACCATGACTTTAATTGGGCAAGCTGCATTGACACAAGGAAATCTATTACTGGATATGTTACATATCTGGGCAACTCTCTAATCCTAGAAATCAAAGAAACAACCCACTGTATAAGAAAATTCCTCCAACGCTAAATATAAGGTCCTAGTTTCCATTGTCGATGAAATTCAGTGACTCACATAACTTCTTAAAGATTTGAAAATTAATCACGTTCAACTTGCTCTCTTGTTTTTGATAACCAATTCGTTCTTCAAATGGCTTCTAGTCAAGTCATGCATGGAAGAACAAAATATATAAAAATTAATTGTCATGTTATTCAAAAGAAAGTTGTTACCGACTTAATAAAGTTGCTTCCTACTTCATCAAAAATGCAGACCAAAGCTCTTTCTTCGTCTACTTTTGATTTTGCTCCAAGTTGAGAATGATAGATCCTAACTCCGAGAAGGGGTGTTAACGTAGTTATAACGTAGTTATATTATTCTACAACGTCTTCTCTTTCCCTCTTTATGTGCATGCTTTGTTGTTTTCATTATTATGTTTAAGCAAACAAGTTTGTTTTCTAAATCTTACGTACTTACGATTTTATAAGTATCGTGATTGTACCTCTTCTCGGTATAATAATAATAATAATATACACAATTTACCACGCGCTTTCTCTCTTGTTTTGCATGTTCTGTTTTTCTTCATCTATTGTTTCTTCTAAATCTCTGCATCTTTTTACGTTTATTTGGCTGTCATTTTAATATCATGTGCTTTCACACTTTAAATCTATCTTTTGATATGTTTAGATCATTTTATTTCATATTTAATATATATTTGTTTGATATATTTGAGATTATTAGAATGCTGGACTCGAATGAAACCTCGATATTGCCTTCATGAACAATGAGTGTCTTATAGATGCAATATCTTAAGGCATACTTAACCCGCTGTGATAAAATGGCTCTCAACGCGCATGTTATATTTCACACCTTCACAAAAGTGCCTAGATAAATAGTTCTAATTGACAAGCAAAATATTTGCATAAAATACTCTTTTAAAATTATCAATAACTCACACATCATTATCATTTTCGATTCCAAAAAAGAATTCAATGTTGTTTTTTTAAATTATGACTTACTATCTCCATAAATATGAAGGATATAAGACAAAAAGAAGGAGATTTCTTTTTCTTCTTATTCTTTTTTGTGCAAGCAAAAGAAAAAAAAAAAACACTTCAAACAATTAAAGGATTAATTCATTTTTTATAGTTATTTATTGAATCAATGGATACAAGTATATTCTAGATCGGAATTGTGGGAAGTAGTGTCTTATTTTTTCTACCAACTTAAAGTCCCAATTATTATTCTTTTTCTATTATACATAAATACTCTTTCAAATATTTTAAATAAGAAATATACGTTACTAATTCTTTGTATATTTTGGTGTTTCTAATCTTCCATTCTTTTTTTTATTAATTCCTTTTATTTATGTTAATATTTGTATGCTCATTCATACAAATGATATTAAAACTTTAAAAAGGTTTATTTTTTTGCGTCCACTTCAAGAAAGGATTACTAATCAACCAATCTTGGGACAACCACCTCTCTCTCTCTCTCTCTCTCATATATATATATATATATATATATATATATAATTCTAAAATTTAATTCATTTTTTCAACTTATTCTTATACATAGAAAATGAAAATGAGACTCAATATTAGTGATATTTGAAATCTTCATACTTTCTATTAACTATAACTAATATACTACTATAAAATAATCAAAAATTCTATTCAATAAAAACTAATTATTAATAGAACTTAACTCGTACAATAATAAAACAAGAAAACTTATATTCAAATAATATCAAAAAGAAAAAAATAGAAATGATAAAACAAATTTGTGCCAACCCGCTAATCCATTTTTTAAATGATAAATGGGTTAATAGTTTGAACTTGCCATCCCATTTTGACTTGTTCCGCTTGTTCCAATAGACCAAAAACATGGAACAGATTAATCCGTTAACCCACTTAAAAAAATTTATAAATTAAAATTAAAAAATATACAATTAAATATATTAATTTTTTGTATCATATTATTAAAATATATAAATATATTATAATATTCTGACTTAAATTATAAAAATTAATCAATTAAATTTAAATTATTAATTATAATTAATTATTTTAACACATAAATATAATAATTTTTTTTAATTTATCAAATAAAATATTAATTTATGAATAAAAACTTACAAATTATTCATATAATTAAATATATTATTAAAATATATATATATATATAAAATTACAAATTGACCTATCAATTCATCTTGTTAAAAGATGAACTGTGATTTGTAACTCATTCACATATTAATCTACCCCATCCCGTTTTTTGATAAACTAGACGCAAGACAGACTAAAACAAAACGAACTTTGACTCATTTTTTCCTCCCTTGAACAAAAGTTCACCAAATGCTATATCTTTTCCTTCTCTCATCAGACAAATATAAACTCGTTTGTTAGTTCACCAAATGCTATAAACCTTTTCCTTCTCTCATCAAGCAAATAAAAACTCGTTTGTTAGATCAAATTAAATATTTTTAATTGAGCAATTATATCAAGTAACCAAAACAACATTACAATAAAAGGAAATGGAAAGAGACTATGACCTCAAAGTTAATAGGAAAGGAGTAGGAATAAATATTTGTATTAAATTTCAAGTGCTTTTGAATCAGAATATAAACATTATATCTCCTAAAATATACAGAATCCTTACAAAAAACAAAGAATAAATAGCACGACATAGAATTTATATTTTGGGCTAGAAGTCAGTCACTCACAATAGCCGAAGTATTTTTAATCCCCATTTAAGTAGGGAATTTTAATGGTCACTTTGGATGCATTAGAAGGAAGTGCAGGACCTGCTTTGAGTGAACTTCTTGCTGACTCCAACGCTCGGGAAGTTTGAAGGGCCATCTCGGCATGGAGTTGCAGACATGTCATAGCCATCTATACAACAACAAAATCCTTAAACATGTCATAGCCATCTCTAGTTAAACAAAAAAAAAATTATTTGGCACAGGAAAATAACAGGAGTTAAACCAAAAATTAGATGAGGATAAGGGGGTTTTGCAATGCTTTAACAGCAGAATAAAAATGACCAAAGAAAAAATTCCAAGGGATAATAACAAGCTATCTGGGTTAATGATAGAACTCTTGACAGATGCTTATCAGTTAATATTTTAAAAGCAACTATATTGTCATGAACCATTAAAATAAATATGAAAATAGAAGTCAAAATGACACCAATATTGATGTATCATGACATTAATTTAAGTAACTACCTACATCTGAGTAACCTTAGCACCACAACATAACTGTAGACCAATGCATAAACATCTAAACCCTTCCATATCCCCATAGATACAAGCTGAGATAATTGAAAATCTTGAACGAAAATGGAGAACGGATTTAAAACCTCATTGAATCTTCAAATTTTCTTTTGCTTACCGTATAGCATTCTTTATCTGTGTCTGACTCAGCTACATCAAGGGCCCATGTGCGAATCCATTCAAGGCCAATCGAAATTTCAACATTTCCTTCAAGCAAGGCAGATGAAATGTAAGTAGGATGAAGAGCAACCAATACACATGAAGCTGCAAAAAGGACGGCTCTTCTAACATATGCTTCTTGGTGATGGCAGACCTCTCTGCAAGGATTAAAAAGCAAGTAACAAATTTTCCTGCTTTAGCACAGTAACAAAAACAACAAAGTAGCAAGGTATAAACATATACAACCAATAGGACACCAAATTATCAACTCCACTAGCATGTTCTAATACAGACACTTTGTTTTTTTCTGGGGTGAGGCGGTTATTAGGGTTTTAGATTATGTCAATCTTCATACAGTCTGCAATTAAATAAACAACTAATATCTTAGCCAGTACCTGGATCTTAACATATTCAGGAGCAAAGGAGCCAGTACAGAAGCTTCAGGATGCATGGCTACAGATTTCATACAAACCCCAAGCATGTAAATAAGTTTCCCCAAGACAATAAAATCCCTGCCAAGCAAGTCAACACCATGCCTTTTTTTATCATATCCCTCCATGGCAGGAAGCATGAAAGCAGCAGCATACAAGGGAAACTTATTATGTGAATACTCCATCTGATTTTGTGGTCCAGGAGATCGAAGACTCCACCGGCGTGTTTTCCCTTTCTTGACCTGATTACGTTTTGGTGGAAGTTCCCTCTCGTAGCTATTTGACCAATTCAACAAAGAGCCAGTACTTGAAATCTCTTTCCAGGAACCAGCTCCAGGAATCTCTGTGCTGCTAGGAAGGAACCAAGGCCGGTTATCTGAAACAATTGAAATAAGGGAACTAGTCTGATGCTTGGGTTTCAGAATTTTTGATTCAGTAAGCTCCTGAGCTGCTTCAGTCATAACATCTAGTATCATAATGCGCTGACTGATATCTAAATTGGGTGAATACAAAAGCTTGTTTAGTGTCTCAAGGGATTCAAATGGGCAGGTGACTGCCAAGGCAAGTAATGCTCTTTGTCTTTTCTCTTCAGTTGATTCTTCTGCACCTTCTAAAGCTATATCAGAGCATCGAACCTGAACAAGAGTTCTGGTAAGATCCCTTGCTGCATGTTTTAGTTCGTCTGGGGAAGCTCTTATAAGCTTTTCAGCTACATCAATAGCCCTTTCCACCTTCAATAAAATTTATAAAACATCAAATTTCAGAGAAAAAATAGGAAATCAAGAGAGGAGTATAAACTGATTTTTGAATAGCTCAGTCTAAAGTCTAAACCAATTAAATAATACTTGGTAACTGTAGTAATTGTTCAACCCCGTAATTCATAACCAATTAATTCTTTTCTCACAAGAAATAAAAAAACATTAAGATACAGTTTGATGATCAAATACAATTAAAAAGTGTTTTGAGAACAAATTACAAACCCCTTCAGCATCATCAGATTTTCTAAGAGCTGCAACTACTTCAGCCAACTGTGAAAATTTTCTTTTCAAATCTGAGTCATCATCTTCCAAATCATACGGCTGTAAAGATGAATCACTTGAGGAATATGAATTCTCACTTGCACTATCATCAACAACCTCCTCATTATCGTCTGATTCAAGATTCAGTGATGCTAGATCAATAATCTCATCTGGATCAAGCACATTAAAGTCCAATAAATTTTTTTTGCCCTTTACATGAATACTTTTTCCTTTATTGGAAGGGGAATCAGTATCCCTCTCTGGACCTGACACTGTAGATAGTTTAGTTTCCTGAATAACTTTTTCCCCACAATTTGAGGCAGCCAGATTCCCTTTCCTGGGGATAGTGAATCCAAATTCCCAATCAATTGTCTCCCCGCTGCAGCTGTCATCAAGGTATAATAGGTTCTTTGGATCAATAATTTTAGACAATGCCAAAGCAACACAGCTAGCCATTTTTCGAACTAAATGATTAGGACTCTCCAGCCTACCTGAAAAAAGATTAGAAAACAACTCATTAAGCGAGTAGAAATGACAACACATTTTTAATCAGATTCACAAGACTACTGAGTAAGTGTATATGCACAGTCCATACAGAAACTTTTATTTTCATCCAGCTGTCATTCTATTATTGACAGCTGTCAGTTAGTTATACTGAGTTGTTTATCATCAACATTTGGATTTTTCTTCACATTTAATTACTATTGAGATTTAATAATTAAAAAAATGAGTCAGTTTTAAGCCCTCTTTTATTATTCTCTGATCTTTCAGTTTCTCTTTCTATTTTCAATATTTTCTTGCACTTTTTATTCATTTACTGATAGTAGAGATCACTCTGAGTAGGAGTGGGATGTAGATGGAGATGGATACACAACAGGATTTCATCAAATAGTCAAGATTTTAGTAAAAAACATTCCATCTTGTTTTTACGGTATTAAATTTTCTTGATTAAACTCCAGAATATCTCTTGATAGCAAAGATGAAAACCTTTAAGTGATATGTTAAACTATTTGTAAAACCGAAAAGAAAGGTTGAATCACATAGGAAAACAATCCTGAAAAGTAAATACATTTGTTAAATTCTTAATGGAATTTATTCATGCTTACTGGATTACTAGTTCCACTTAAAATACTGGAGAAAAGTCCTTAATGCAGCTTACTTTCATACACAGCAAAAAGCTGCAAAAAGATGTGGGAGCTATCATATAAACCCTACAATTATTCCAGATTCTATGCTTTAATAACCACTTAATTTTGATAAGGTTGACACATTTGACTTGACACAAGGCAGGACCCACAGAATAAACAGCAAGTTCAAGCGGAAGCATTCTCAATCCAGAAGCCCCCATATTACACCTAAATTGTTCCAGATTTAACACATCCTTCCACTGAGTAGGGCTTGTTATTAAAAGTATTCTGAAGGATCAAGGGTAGGCAACATGCAATAGTTCCAATCCCTCTTTCCATACCTATTATCAAGACATCCAACAAGAAAGTAAATGATTCTTACAACTAACTCCTTGAAGAATCAAATTCATAGCATTCTTCATCCCATTCAATTCCTCCTTAGACATTGACTCCAGAGAAAGGCCTAGTGCAGCAGATATGTCTGAGATAAATATAGGAAAAATAAATAAATATGGTATCAGATCCAGTGAATGCCCAGAGGAGGAAAGTACATGAGATTGTTATAATTACAATGCAGCAATATAGATCAAATAGAGTGTCAGCCTTTACACAACAGGAAGATCGCTGTCTTGTGACTAGATGATCACAAGGGTAAAAGCAATCAATTTGCCCTTCCCAAAACCCACAACAAAGGTAACTTCATGCACTAAGAACCCTTTCTAAACTCAAATCAAGAAGCTATGTTTCCCTCTATTGCACGTGCTTTTCACTTATTACAGTATATTGGTGCAATTAAAAAGGATACAAGCTTGTTGCTCAATAGGTGCTGTTTGCACAAATTCTTTCTTAGACCATACTGCCAGCAGACGTTGGACTGTATTCAAAAGCCCAGGGCGATTATGTTCCAATAATGAGGTACCAGGTGGGCATTCATGAACAGCAAATTGAAGGATCCATTTCAGGCAGCTAACAGGGAATACTTTCCATAGCAGGAATTTGTCAACAAACATAGACCTGAACAGGAGACATGGGAACATAGTAAAACAAAGGCGCATAAGCATATATAAAGTAATAGTAATACTGAAATTTCATTACAGTTCATTGAACAAAAATAGAAGAGGGCAAAAGTGCTTATGATGGTGACAATATGCTACAACCATGCAGTGTACCCATTGGAGTCAATGGTGGGAAATATCAGCATTATGGAGGTTTAGCCCCTATGTGACAAAATCACTGAGTACTGGTTTGGCTTAGCAGCCACAATTGGGCCTAAACCATGGCTCTAGCAGTCATGATTCTTTTCCAGTGCAAAATCATCTTTTCTGGACCTAAAGTGGTGTCATTGTTGTGCTTCTGTTTTAGGGGGGCAATCTTGAGATTCTGTCCCCCTTTTTTATTTAATCAGAACAGAGTCAGGAACCCTATTGCCCACCAACACTTCAGTAACACAACAACTGAACCTCCATGCTTATCTCCAACACAGAAGACCCATCTTCTCTAGCAACAATGCAAAATTTGCAGCATTGTAGTGTTTCCTGGCCATTTTTAGCAAAGTCATCTCAGTCTGTTGAGGTTGTGCAGCCATGACCACAACAGATATGTCAAAGTATGAAATAGACCTTTCACCTCTTTGTTCAATCTAACCTCTGGTCTCCTGTTCTTCTGAGTTCTACTCTACAGTCCACCCTATATTTTATTTTATTTTCTAATTGGGTTTTCTCTTCTTAGTTGAAGGATGGTAATTGCTTCATCCACTCAACCACAGGTATCTACACCAACCACTGCCTTCACCCTTTGCATGAGTCTCTTTCTTCTACACTTTAGTTTTTAAAATTTGACTTTTGATCTCTAATTAAGAATGTCTTTAATTTTATTTTTCAGCACAAACATATATAATGCGTATCTTAAGTATCTTAAGACTTCAGATCAGTGGTCATCCCACTACCCGCTACAGCTTTTTTGGAGTCAGACACTCTTATTTGGATTTGACTACTAAGTTCTGTCCATCATAGTGCATAGATCTAACATCAATAATAACCAGTAAAAGAGGGGTGTCACAATTTTTATTTTCTTCAATCAAATGGTGCATTAGTTGTAGGTCATCTCTGAACAAATGGAAAATAAAATAGTATTTTCAATCACCTGACAGAAGCCTGAAGTTTAAAAATTCGATGGAATAACAACCACAGAAGCCAATACCCTTGAATATCATTTGCATCTTGAGTAGCTAACTTCTGCAAAATCAGCTCAGATATTCTTTCTGTTGTATAAGGATCACTGATGAATTCCATTATTCTTGACCAAAATACCATCTCAGGTTTTGACTCAAGCAACTCCTTAGTAATTGAATCATTATTTGATGATAAGCAGCTGTTGATAAGCCTTAGAACTTCAGGTATTAATTCACTAGATAAGAGATCTACAAGAAAAGAGATTTAGTCAGGAAACAATTTTAATCATACTAAACAGCTAGTCCACACAAAAATTAGTTACAATTCACAAAAACTAACAGCATAGGACCAGAGTCATAAATAACCGCAGGTCACAAACTTCATTTATCCCTTTCAGCAATTTTAAAGTAGTTTTATTGTGTTTCCCACTAAATATAGGATAAGAGTTAGAAGCCAGTCAATTTCAATGCATTGCTTCCTGTTCGTCAAACTGTTGTTATTAATCCCAAATCATAATCGGGACTGTCCAAACATAAAAACACATGGCAGGATGGTCGCTTTACCAATTTTTAAATATACAAAATAATCAACTTATACTTCACAAATATAAATACTCAAAATAAAATAAAAAAGACCAAAAATAAGAACATTCATAATTAATAATCAATCCTTGTTTTATAAAGAGTGGGGGAGAACCGGCCTATGAAGTATGAAGAAAGAACATAACACACAAAAAACAGAGACCTGCAAGCTACACCCAATGTGAACAGATACCAAAGGATAAAAAACAGAGATGTGTGAATACTGAATAGAGACGTAAACACTGCCACAGTGCAGAGGGTCTGTTGAGAATATCAGGATCTGCGAAAACAATACTGGCACAGGTGTTTGGTGGCCGGACACAAAACAGAGGTCACATTCCATCTTTCATTGAAATAGGGTCAAACTTCCAATTTATTTTCAGAACAGAAACCCCATATATTTATGATGTAAAACAATGGTGAATCACAAACATACCCAAAATAACTGGTTTGATAACTCAGAAAACAGGGAGCAAAGAAAAGTATTTTATCACTTCAAATAGATAGCACCCAAAACTGCTCTTTCCAAGGTAACAGCTGAACTGAAAGAAATCCACAACAGAAACCACGCATGTGGACTGTTCCATCGCTCATAGTTCACAACTATGTCTAAAAACAGCAATTTCCGTATGCAAAATAGTACACTTCTATTCCAATTGAGAATACCTAAATCCATCAAAACAATGAGATACCTAACCACTGAGTCATCTATTTTAAACAAAATTATCAAAACAGTTATGTTCAGTCCACACATTAGCAATTTAGTAATCTACTCTTAAATAGCACACAAAAGAAAAGTAATATATTCTACTTTCAAAATCCCAGCATCCAACATATAGAACCTTTTAGAAGTGTTGCAAATTTTAAAGATTACAATTGGGAGTTGGGGACTGTGTTAGAGAGACTATAAAGTAATTTGTTTACTTGGGTTATGTTTTTATGTTTAAGTCAGGACTACTCATGTTGGTTGGTACTTGGAATGTCGGCCAATTGGCATCATGTTATGTCCAAGGAAACTAGATACAGCTCTAGGTGGGACTTTACTAAGTATGTGAGGAATCAAAATGTCAAACATTTAATAGGCTACAAGCTTGCAGTAGTTCATAACCACATGTAACTGCACTCACATCATTGCATTTCAAACTTTCACAAACTTGGTATTGATGCCAATTTCACATTGATAATTGATTCACTAGCTTATTTTTAGTTGTGTCAAAAAACTCACGGACAAATACTGCAAACAATAAATTAAATAATAAACCTTTATAACAAGTGACAACATGCATTTTTTTCTCCACGATATGAAACAGCAATGGCAACATATTATGGCACTGAAGAAAACGCAATTCTTAAAGGATGATAACTAAATTAAAGCAAATTAATGATACTTCTACTAATATGCGTAGTTTAATGAAAATGTTGAAATGTCAAAATTTCTATTTACCAGTAGAGCCACGGCGACAAATGCGAGAAAACATTTCCCCAACGAATAACATTGCACCATTTTTGTCCATTTCATCCATCTCTACATTGTCTAGCAAAATCATTTCTCTTTCTTCCGCCAGGGAGAGTAGTTGGACTACAACCTGCTTGAAGAACATACTGAATACTCTCGGTGAAAAAAATATATGAAGTGCTTATAATTTACTCAGAAACCATGATGGTATTCAATCAATGGAACCCACAAACTAACTAAACCAAGAAAAGAAAAGGAGGATACTTTGATGACAAGGAAGTCAATGAGTTCATTCTTGCTTTGTCAGGAATAGATGCAACAATCTGTGCCACCCTTGATACATCCATCTTGATCTGTACATCTGTAACGCTTCTCAATTTAGAAGATTCACCAAACTCTCTAGCTAACTGGAGCACCCCATTATTTTCAAGCAAGCACAGAACAAGCAATCTGTTATAAATGTTGGAATCAGAATAAGTTCTTCCCATCATTAACTTAAATCAGCTTGTTACCTCACTCACACCAAATTAAGCACAAGCATGTTGATAACCTTTTAAGGCTAGAGAAACGGCATTCAAGAAATTGCGCAATACAAACACCAATACCTTTCGGTATTAGAGAGGACGGCATTAACATCTAGACCATCACCAGCATTCAGCCGGAGAAAAGGAACCAAATTCTGCAGAACCTCAGTAACCAATCCACGGACAAAGAAAACATCATAAACATATTTCTGCGCCGAAAATGGGAAACAACCCAACCAGGTCGAAGCAACATCTGCAGGAAGTTGCATATCACATGAAAAAGCAAAACGCAACTCAAAATTCGGAAGGGAAAATAAAAAAGTAAAAAACCTTACCAAGTAATAGAAACCTAGCCAGTGTAGGAAAAGCAGCTCCTCGATAAAACGCACGCCACGAACCATATCGTTTTTCTGCACTATGAACTTCAACACTGAATACCTGTAAACAAAAGAAACATGAAGGAACGAATATGTCGTTACAACGGCGAATAACGACACATAAACAAGCACAAACCTGGTCTCGGTAACTCTCATTGATGCTATCTGCCATGTAAACATGCATTCAAAATCAAAATCTACTTTCAAACAAGTGTAATAGCGCATACTCCTTGACAGTAAGCAAATAGTGAAGAATTTGATTCAAGTTAGGGACAAATTCAAGGAACCTGAGAGGAGAGAGGGGTCTACGGGGAAGAGAATAGTGGCTATGGAATGAAGAGCGCAAATAACTTGATCGACGTGTTTCGCGTTCTTTATAGCCGAAATCACTTCGGCAACCTTGCTAATCACCTCAACTTCCAATTCTCTCTTCTCTAAACCCTCCTCCATCGCCGATTTTTCGAAACGGAGTTTCTCTACTGTACTTCGCGACTCTGCACTTCGAGACGAGTAACCTGGGGATTATTTAGATGGAGTAGTTTAATTATAAAATTTCTATGGAAGTATCACAAATAAATTTTTTATAAAAATGTAAAATTAAATTTAGTGTTTTAAATAAGTCTAGTTAATTCGAAACGCTGGACACAGGCTACTTACAAAAAATTGATGTGGTTGGTGTAAGTTAAACCAAGGCTTGTAACTTTTTGTTTCAAGCTTGTTTATATTCTTTTTAATATATGTACATAATGATTAAAAAATTTGTTTCACAACTATTTTATGAAAACTCTTCTTAAGTCTTCTAATATTAACAATTTTCTTGTTGAAAAGTGTTCCAAATACTTTCAGATCCTTATGAATTAGGGATTATTCTCAAAACTTTGATGGTAAGTCTTTGCATACTTGGAGCACATAATCCATAGTTCCTCCACCATGATATAGATGCATGAACCATTTGTGATGAGATTAAATTTTGAAAAGGGCAAATGCACCATAAGCTACAAACTTGTCAAATGTTTCCGACTAGTATGAATATATTTTGTTTGGTTGTATCATTTTAAGTTGACTTGCGCAGAGAAACACCATAAGAGAAAAATCACCTTTTAATTTATTAATTAAAACTGTATAACATAAACAAAATCATTTCACGTAATAAGTTATATAACCTTACATTGATTATATTAATCTAGATTATAAAGTCATATATAATTAATTATATATTAATCCACATAATTGATTATGTGATATATTATGAATATATAAATTCACATAATTGATTATGAATCTATTTTTTCAATAAATCTTTTAATAAAATTATACATCAATGTTTTTTTCTTACATGTATTATAAAATTGAAAATATTTATATTGATTTTATATTAAATTTATTTGATAATTTTTATAAAAAAATTAATTTTTAAATTAAAACTAATTTATCCTTAGAATAATTATTATAATTATTTTATATAAAAAAATTCTTATCTATTATATACAATTTAATAAATATTAAAAAAAATTGCGCCAAGAAAAACATTTTGAATAACATTTTCTTTATCAATAACATAATTTAATAAAAATTATCAACAAAAAACGAATATATTTAATAATTCATATTTTATTTTACCATGATTAGTTAATGACATTTTTTTAATTACAATATGTTTTCAATTTATTATAAAAAAAATAGTGTAGTTTTTTCTTAATCAAATATCTAATTCAAGAATACGTTAATTAATATAATTTGTAAATAATTTAATTTGAATATATATATATATATATATATATATATAAAAAATATAATTTATTTATATAATTTTAAACGAATATTAAATATGAAATAAAATTGTTTAATTATAATATTTGATTTTAAAAATAATTTTTAATAAAATATTAAGTAAGTACATATAATAATATATAAAAAATATGTATATTTATTTTTTCAAAAAATAATAATATAAAAATAATTAACTTATTTATTATATTAATATTTAACTATAATTTATATATAGATTAGTTTTATTTTATTTATTTTATTCATTTTGTTAAATAATTATTTCATATTAGAGTATATCTATCTTAATTTTATTTTTATTTTTATTTTATTAAAATTATATAAAAATATTTTAATTATTTATTATTTTATCATATTATTTAATATTTTTAATTAAATTTATTTTTTATTATCTTTTTACTTTATATTTTTTTCTAAATTCAAATAATCTCACCTTCTAACTTATAAGTTTTCTGTCATAAATTTTTCCTTTCTAAATATACAATTCACTTGAAATCATATTTGCCATTTACTCCTCACTGCTAAGTTTATCAAATAATGTATTTGACGTGACCTTTTTAGAATTTAACTTTTTTTATTTCTAATTGATACAAAATCTTAAAATTTGGAATAACACAACTGTTTTATAATATAATTATACTTTTTCTAAGAAAATGTAATATATTAACACTTCTTAAAACCTAAAAATATATTTTAAAGATATTAAAATATGGGAGTTTTTTTATCTTAGATATGTTCTCAATGAGATTAATTAAGATTTTGATAAAAAGTAGTTTGTCTTACAAGTGTAATTAATTTAATGGAATAATTAGTCTCATTGTTTTATAATATTATTATAAAAATATTTATTAATTATCAATAAATTTTTAAAAAATTACATAACCAAAATTATATGAAATCACTCGTTTAGACTCTCTATACTAGGTGAAACATAAATATTTTATATGTATATGTGTCCATAATTTTTTATTAAACCTTTTTTATTTTAATTAATGAAATATTATCCCTAAAATTATTTATTGTTGGAGATAAACAAATTTGAGAGAAAAATTGAGTATCAAGAGAATAAAGAAGAATGATAATTTTTTTATTATCTTTATATATTATTTTATATTCGAGAAAAGAACTGAAAAAAATGTGCCATTAATAGAGGAAAAATAATAATTTTTTAATTAACTTTATTTATTTCATTTATAGTTAAGTGAAATTAAAGAGAACATGTGGTTTAAGGAATAAAAAAGAGGGAAGATATAAAATAAAAAAATATTTATGAAAATAATTAAAAAAGTATTCTTCGTATAAATAACCTTTATATATATATATATATATATATATATATATATATATATATATATATATATATATTTATATTGTATAAAGAAGATTTTGTCATAAATACTTTTGATGTCATCAAGAAAAAAAATCTTATATAATAAGTGAAGAAAGAACGTTGATGTATAAAAAGAGTAAAGAGAAAAAAAAAAAAGCGATTTAAAATTAATAAATATTAAATAATTGAATAAATAAACACTTTAGCGTCTATGTTTTCTCAATAGTCTAAACTTCTATAATCATTATAACTTTTATAATTATATATAAAGGATTCCTTTTTTAACCGTTATTGTAGAAAAAAATAAGTGTTATAGTTAAAAAATTATTATGATTTGTATATTTAAAAATTAATAAAAATAATATTTTTAAAAAATAATTATAAAAAATATAGATATTTTAGCACCTATGTTTCCACTAATATATTTAGAGGAGATTCCTCTTTTTATAATTTTTTTTGTCATCTAAGTGAGAAAGAAAATGTCATTATAATATATTATGATTTATAAGACGAGGGAGATTAATATTATGATTTATATTTAAAAAAATTAGTAATAAAAGAAAAGAGAACAAAATTATGAGTGAAAAAAGAACGTGAGTATATTTAAAATAACAGAGATAAAAAGTAAAATTTTAAAAATATTTTAAAATAAATTAATATTAAAGAAAATATAGACGCGGATGCTTTATTTTCTTTTATATATAGAGGATTCCTTATATTTTATATATTCTAATGTTTTATTTTCTCTCTCATAATTATATTTGACTTTTTTTAATATATTTTAAATATATTAATGAATTTATTTTATTTTAAATAACATTTTATTTATGTATAAATTATATTATATTATTATTCAAAATAAATTGATGAATATATTTTAAATATTTAAAAAATGTTTTATTTTTTTTGTTACCTGTGACAAGTTAATTACGGAAAGAGAATTGTAAAAAAACATAAGTGCAAAGTGAGACGAGAAAAAAACTTAATAACTTATCATATTTTACTTATAAATATTTCCATTAATAAATGTCATAGACATTTTTCAATAAGTTTGATATTATTAATTTAGAATCCCTGTGAATAAACTTTTTGCTATTTGTTCGTTGGTAACATTTGTACGTCAAATAATTAAATTATGTTTGTCGATAAATTGGATAAAAGAAATTGAAATGTGAAATCAATTCATTATTTCAAGTGTTCTAATTTTATTTTTTACCCCTATTTCTCTTTGGCCTCCAAATCCTCTCCCAGCATCTCTCTTGCCTTCTCATCTCTTAACCCACCTTAATCGATAATAAAATTGTTGAAGTTATAGAATCTTATTATGTGGTGTGTGTATATCTCGGATAGTTTGGTACTATTTTTTGTATTTAGTCTCAAATAGTATTTTAATTTTTTATTTTAGTTAGGGATCGACATGTTAGGATGTTAGGGTACTCTGTGTTATTATTCTTTTATTATATTAGAATTTGTCCTTAATTGAATTTGATAGTGTTTAGATTCTTTGAGAACCAATGGAAGAGTTTTAAATCATTCATTCACAGTCGAAGTTGGTAATAATATATGTGCTGATTAGGTATGTATATTTCCTCTTATTTTTATCAAAGTTGTTATTTAAGGGGTTTGAACTTGCTATTATGATAGAGTTATTTAGTGTGCAGATTTGTATAATGATGGTTTAAGATAATTGAAAATCACTTAGGAACTATTATGTAACTAGGGAGTGTAAAAAAATATTGTTATTCCTAGGTTTTTTCCCTCTTTGCCTTAGGTGACTTAACTAATCACAATTTCCTTTTCTTTGCTTGGTATAAAAACTGATAAGTAAAGATGTAATGTGCAAAGGTGTTGGTGGGCTTATTTACCACAATGCCTTAAGCTTTGTACTGTTATGCAGGGTTGTTCCTTGTCATACTAAATATGACCAAGCTTTAGTCATTTTATGTTTTCCCTTTTTTTGCATATGTATTTGTTTTGTTGAAGTTTCTTTCATAATTAGTTGTTATGTCTAAACTTTGTCTTATTTTGCTTAAAAAAAGTAGGTAGTGACTCCAAAGTTTCATTCACTTAAATTACAATAACATGCATGCTGACTTTTACTATATTAGGGGATATATAGATAACTTATTCAACCTAGGCTCTATCCTCTTTGTCTTATGTCACATAACTAGTCTAAAATTTTCTTTTTTTGCTTGGTGTAGAAATTGATAGTATAAAAATGTAGAATGCAGGGTATTTACAGACCTTATCCACACTGATTTTGGCCTTATTTGTTGTGAGAACATATTATAATATCTTAAGTTTTGTACTATGGGTTATCCTTGAAGCTTTAGTCATTCTTTGTTTTCCCTTTTTATGCATATGTGCACTTTTTGGATGAAATAACTGGGTTTTGTTCATCACTGATGATTATGCAAAAATAATCTTTTAATATGAACTTTGTTTATTTGCTTAAGAATGACATATTTTTCATTCATGTGTGTACTTTGCTATTCATTATGCCAATATGTTAGTCATTTGCATCGAATTTGGTGATGTAATATATCCTAATAATGTTTATTAATTATTACTAGTCCTAATTCTTGCGTATCAATTATTGTGTTTTATCCACTTTCAACTAAACATTGATGTTTAATTAAGTTAATAAAATGATATAGTTTATTTATTTTAATCAAGGTTGTAAATCTGACTTTTCTTAATTAACATAATTTTTTAAAACTTTGATTTTAAAGATATATGTCAATTTGTAGGTTGTGTTAGTTTATTGTTTGGAATAACCAATTAAACATACAATGTGTCTTTTTTAATTTTACCCCGTCTTACCTTTCAAGTTTATCTCAAAGCTTAATTAGTATTTTTAACTATATACAATGGTCTAATTCAATAATTTTTCATATATTTATACTATAGTCAATAGTTGCATCACGTGATGTTGTTCTTTGGTTGTCGTTAATGATGAATATAAATGAGAGCTTAGTAGTGATAAAATGTGTTTCAAAGTAATATTGTATATACATTAAACACAAGTATTTATTGGTGCAATTACCACTATACTTTGTCTTCACAATGTTTTATAATGACTAAAACAATAATTAAGGATCTATATATCAATCCACATTGTTCTCAATTATCTAGGTTTAAGAATGTTGTTTATCTCTCACACTAGAAAGCTAGGCATATTTAATTGTGGTCAACATATTTTGAATAATCTCCTAGCATATGGAGGCCTTTTACTTCTCATTTCCTGTAATCCTTTGAATTTATAGACCCATATTGATGTTTGTATGTTGTTGGGTGACATAATTTATTTTGTATTTCTTTGACATAACCACTCAGATCACATAAGATCTTCAAATTAAGTCATTTAATAAGAGAACGAGGATATGGAAGCATATTTTATATTTTTTCCTTGTGTAGTGTTTCCATCATTCCTCAGTTTCTTTTTTGTGTTATATATGATTATTATTTTTGCATATTTATAGATTATTTTACCTTATCAGAGGTTGTCCAAGAAACTATGTATATTCAAAACATTTAAAATTGTTGTGTAGTTTTGCAACTTTTAATTTATTTTCTTGTTGCAGAAAAAAACAAATCATATTAAACATTTGGAAGTATGAGGAAAAGTATAATCTTTAATTAACAATTATTTTGAAAAATCATTTGCTTTTATTAACATATGTCTTTATAAGGATAAAAGTTAGCCTAATTCATAATAATTAACAACTTTTACTTTTTAAGTCCATACTTATTTATTGATCTATGATAACACAACTTTCTTCCTTGTTCACCTGACCCATCATCCTCTCTTGTCACTCCCTTTTCCCTTACTCCAAACCTTGATTTTGGAGATAAATGTTACATTGTTATTTAATAGTTGTGTTTGTGTACGACCATGTTTAAAATTTAGTGTTTTTAAAAAATTAGGAATAATGTTCACATTCATATTGTATTTTCCTTTGTTTCTCCCTCAATGATTGTTAATCATTTCCATGTTAACTTTTCTCATCTCTACAAATTGTAATCTATATCTTTTCTTATATATTATGTTTGTCCATGGTTGACAGGTACACTGCTAGGTGGTATTTTAATTGACAAAAAAACTATTAAGTTAGCACAACTTTTTCACTCGTACAAAATTACTTAACATTACTTGTTAATGTGGTAAATAAATAGGAGTATAGGTACATAATTATATTTAAGCACACTAATTGTAAAAATAACTATAAAATCAACGAAATAATTATATAAACAACATCTGAGAATTCTAATTTGTGAACTAAAATAATTATAAAAGGCTTGATAGAGTAGTTATGTGCATGCATATTTTACCTAAAAAATAATTGTGCACCTATGTGTCCATTATGTTATTAAATTTTTAAATTAATTATTTTAAATATATATCATATTTTCTCTCTCTATTTTTATGGCTTATATGTTATTTTTTTTATTTTCTTCACATCTTTTTTATTTATTTTCTTTCTTATTCGAAAACTAGAATGACTAAACACATCCAAAAGGTGAATTGAGTTTGTAAAAGTTTTTTGAAAATCTAATCAATTAACTGAATCTTTTTCAAATAATCAAATTGAAAAAGATTTGGGAATGTGTTGAGGTTTCAAGAACAATAAGATAAAGAAGAAAAATGTATGAACACAAATATTTTATATTGGTTTGATTCTATGTAATCTACATCCAGTTATTCAAATAACCTTAATTTAAAATTTTAGAATAATATTTTCAATATTCAAATTACAAAATAAAATGCAGATCTTGAAATAAAATCACCTTAACAAGATCTAACAAGAATCACAAAACTTGAAAAAGTTATCCTCACTAGATGTTGACCTTACAATCATTAAGATACAACAAAGATTACAAAAATCCAAGATAATAACGAAATCAACTGAACTTTGAATTGCACAAGTATACATAATCCTATAGCCAAATAATTTATCCCTTGAATGCAATTTTTCTCACAATGATTCACAAGTTCAAACGTTGATTCAATCCCAATAATCATTTCTTTCTTTTTCAGGTGTTTTTATCGTTTTTCAATTCATATTTAATTGTGTAAGTTTTCTTCTTTTAAAAAAGATAAAAATAATTATAGCTGATTCGAGATAATCGATTAACAAAAAATATGATCCATTATTTATATGCAGTGACAAAAGAAAAACATAACAATATAATCTATTAGATACTAACATAATAAATTATTAACTCATAATATTAAAACATGAACATGATCATAGATTAAACATCAAAACAATATATTATATAATACTTAAGTTTTAATATAATCAATTAACTCATTTATCCTTTTATCTTTTTACCTTTTAGATAGTTTATTAAAAATGGATTTAATTTAATTTTAACTTCATTTACACACAACCACCTAAATATTTGAACATCATAACAAATAATAATTTCAATCTTTATCAAATCATTAACCAGTTTAACAACAAATACAAATACTTATAAGTAATTATATCAAAGTAGTTGGTAATGAGAGTTCCTAAATATTAACAATTACTTCTACATACAACTTTACTTAATGAGAAAAATAATAAATAATTAAAAAATATCTCACATAAAATCTTTACTCTATACATTCTTAACTATCAACCTCTCTTATCATATTATAAATAAATAATTAAAAAAAATCACATTAATTTTCAAGAAGAATAAAAAAATAAAAGCATTTACATTTTTATTTTATTTACAAAATAATAACAATACTACATAATAATTGTTTAAACATTTTTTTAATTTATGTAAAATTAGTTTAATTTTAATTTTAATCTTATAATTTTTAAAAAAGTTAAGTTTATAATTTTTTAAATTAATCTTTATAAAAATCTTAAATTTTTTATTACTTAAAGTTAAAATATCATATAAAATTAATATTTAGTTATAATAATTATATTATTTTTAATTTATCAAGTAAAATATAAATGAAAAATTATAAAAATATAAATGTTTATAAAAGTTACCCATTAAAATAAAACTTACAAAAATATTAATATAAATTATTTAATAATAATATGACAGAACAAGTTTGTTATTATGTCGCTGTAAGAATTATAAAAATTAATACTGAATATCTTTTTCATCTTTATCATTAACATATTATAAAAATAATTAATAAAAAAAGTTAAAAATAAAAAATTACCTTTATATATTATAATAATAATAATAATAAATACGTTCCTAAATATAAATAAGTTTTCAAATTTAATTATTTAAAGTTAATATTATTATTTTAGATACATTTATTTTAGACTAATCTAATTGTGAGTTTGCACTTTTAACAACTCTTTTTATTCCCCTTAATTAACGAATTCATGTAGATCTAAATAAATTCATTTTAGGACGGAGATATGCTTTACTGATAATAATCACAGCACAGTTCTGAAAATTAATTTCAATTGAAAGGAAAAGGTTTTCAGAATAGCTTATTGTTGCACCCCTAAAACCTCGCACTCGCGTTTGCGATTTCCCGTGTCTATGGCGGCGGTGGCGGAAGCAAGGAAGGTCCCACGGCCGGGCAAGGGTGGCTACGAAGCCCATGGCTTGAGCGAAGAAGAAGCGCGTGTTCGAGCAATCGCGGAGATAGTTAACTCCATGGTGGACCTCTCACACAAGGGCCAAAAAGTGGACCTCAATGCGCTCAAGTCCGCGGCGTGCCGCAAGTACGGCCTCGCACGCGCACCCAAGCTCGTGGAGATGATCGCCGCGCTCCCCGACGCTGAGCGTGAAACGCTCCTCCCCAAACTCCGCGCCAAACCCGTCCGTACCGCCTCCGGAATCGCTGTCGTCGCCGTCATGTCCAAGCCGCACCGCTGCCCGCACATCGCCACCACTGGGAATATTTGCGTTTACTGCCCTGGCGGTCCCGACTCCGACTTCGAGTACAGCACTCAGTCCTACACCGGTTACGAACCAACCAGTATGCGTGCGATTCGTGCGAGGTAGGGTGGTGGTGGTTTTTTCTTTAAATGTAGGGTAAATTAGAATAGATGAGAATGCTTAAGAGTGGATTTTTGAGTTAGTTTTAGAATTAGGCTTGAGGTTCGTAGATTAAAAGTGCGTTCTGATCGGCAAACGAGTCGTTGCTTGTGTGTTTCATCGTGAATAATAGCTTATTCAAATTAGAATACTCGTTCGGAGATATTAGACGTGGTTTTTGTAGTTCAATTAGTTCGTCAGTGTGTATGTAGTTCCTCAAATGATAAGCAAAGTGACCTCAATATTATTTTGACCAACAGAATACACATCTAGGGGTATCAAACATATGGATTTTGTTGTACAAACTAAGTTGACCATGCTTAAGGGGCATTCAACCTAGTTTTTATGTCATTAGGGTTTAACTTGGCTATTTTGCTAAGATATTAATTACAATTAGTACAAGCATGGCATGACACATTTGACAGATAACGTGTCTTTTTAGTGTATTTTCGGAGTTTGATTCCTTGTATGAGTAAACATCTGTTGGTATAGGAAGAAAATGAATCTGGGTGTCTCATGGGATTAGTTTTTGGCTTTTTTGCTGGGAATGCAGATACCCTAGGACGGCCAAAAAATTATTACAATAAGTGAGGTTTGTAAATTAGACGTCTAGGGATTTGAGCATCACTATTTGTGAGAACGTTAGGGGCTAGTCTGGTTTTATTTTGTGTACAAACATTATTTGAAGGATATAAATTGTGCCTTGTGCTAATTTTTTATGATGATATTCTTGTGGAACTGGATTTAGGTATAATCCATATGTCCAAGCAAGGAGCAGGATAGATCAGCTTAAGCGTTTGGGCCATAGCGTAGACAAGGTTTGGAGCTCAGTTTTGTATCTCTTTAATATTCCAATCCAAGTGCATGATATTAATGTAGATATACTGTGTAAAGCGCTTATAATTATGGTTGTTGTTATCAGGTTGAGTTTATCTTAATGGGCGGTACCTTCATGTCACTTCCAGCTGATTACCGTGATTACTTTATAAGAAATCTTCATGATGCTTTGTCTGGGCACACATCTGCCAATGTGGAAGAGGCAGTGGCTTACTCCGAGCATGGTGCAACCAAGTGTATTGGCATGACAATTGAAACGTAAGTTGCCATTTAAGTAAATACCTTTGCATTGAAAGTTTTGATCCTTGGTCTGCTCGTCATGTGCAGTTGTAAATGATTGTTTATATGTCTCATCTTTTTGGTCAATAAAAATAAAGATCAACAACTTTTGTTCTGCAGTGATTAAAAATGATATATTTTATATAAGGGTAAAATATGTTTTTTATAAAACAACTATTACAAATATTTGTATTTAATACAATTAGAATATTTTATATGATTTTCATACAATAACAATTATTCTGTTAAGTTTTTAATCGTCATTGGTAAAGAAAAAGTTAGTTTTATGTCAGATAGACCATTAAGTGATGTGTTACTGATGTTTATGGTTTTAATTGTAAAAAAACTTGATTTCATAAAAGATGGTGAGTAATTGTAGATGTGTACGATCAGAGTCGTCAGGTTCTCCTCCATGAATTTTGAACAATATGTGATGAATTGTTTCCACATATGCTGAGACACATCATCACTTAATGATCTATGTGACATAAAACTAACAACTTCTTTAGCAGTGATGATTAAAAACTTAATATAATAATTAATAATGTATGAAAAATCAAATAAAAAAATTTAATTGTACTAAATACAAATATTTGTCTTAATTATTATATGAAAAACATATTTTACACTTTATATAATATGAAAAGTTACCACTCAGATGGAGATAGGTTTCGTTATGAAATTTCTAGGTTGTTTCTGCATTTTTTGTTTGAGCCTATCTATAATTAATTAATTAATTTAGTGGAAACGTTTTGGAAAATTTACATGGCAATAGTGTGCTGTAACACATCTATGATGAGCTTATCAAGTTTTGTGCTTCTTAATTTATCAGGAGGCCAGATTATTGTCTTGGGCCTCACTTGCGCCAAATGCTTTCTTACGGTTGTACACGATTGGAGATTGGAGTCCAAAGCACCTATGAGGATGTTGCCCGAGACACAAATAGAGGACACACTGTAGCTGCTGTAGCGGATTGTTTTTGCTTAGCTAAAGATGCTGGTTTCAAGGTTTTTTACTCTTATTTAAATCTGCACATTCAGTAGAAAACACAACTTTGTGTGACCAACCATCTCCTTTGTGTCTCTCTGCTGCATTTTTTTTATCAAAATTTTTTTATACGTATTCCTGCTCATGTATTTTCAATGAATATTTTGCCATGTTTACTGTCTCATCATGTTTGTATAAACTATAACTGGAACAAGCTTTAGATAGATTTATTAGTATAATAAGCCAACTTTCGACATTACAGTGGATTGCTCGTAAATATTTGACATTTTTCTAGTTGACATTTCTTCTTTTTGTCATTTGGTTTATGCTTTAGTCTTTTTGGCTTATGCTCTAGGTTGTTGCTCACATGATGCCTGATCTTCCAAATGTTGGTGTTGAGAGGGACATGGAAAGTTTTCGGGAGTTTTTTGAGAGTCCCTTGTTTAGAGCAGATGGGCTAAAAATATATCCTACACTTGTAATTCGTGGAACAGGGCTTTATGAGCTCTGGAAAACTGGCAGGTATATTTCAAATATTTATTATTTTTGGACTACTTTTTCACAAAACTTTTCAATTTTTCTTATTTTTATTTTTTTTAAACTATCCTATAGAAAATAAAAAAATCTTTAATAAATTGTAGGTATAGAAATTATCCACCCGAGCAACTTGTCGACATCATAGCAAGGATCCTTGCATTGGTACCCCCATGGACACGTGTTTATAGAGTTCAGCGGGATATTCCCATGCCTCTGGTTACCTCTGGGGTTGAGAAAGGGAATCTGAGGGAGCTAGCATTAGCTCGAATGGAAGACCTGGGATTGAAATGTAGAGATGTTCGGACCAGGGAAGCTGGAATCCAGGTTATTATTATGTAGAACTGGTTTTGTTTGGGAATTATATGTAATTGATTGCTGACACAATTTGATTTCTAAAAACCTTTGTGGAGCATCGACTAACATTTTCTATATCTCTGTAGGATATTCACCACCAAATTAGGCCAGAGGAGGTGGAGCTTGTTCGACGAGATTATATGGCAAATGAGGGTTGGGAAACATTTCTATCATATGAAGATACACGACAGGTAATTTGATCTCTCTTCCTCAACCTGTTGCCAAAACCCAACAATGACTTTGTGTGAACTCAACAGGATATCCTTGTTGGTTTGTTGCGACTGCGAAAATGTGGCCGCAATACTACATGTCCAGAGCTTATGGGAAAGTGTTCTATTGTTCGTGAACTCCATGTTTATGGAACTGCGGTACCAGTTCATGGACGGGATGCTGACAAGCTACAACACCAGGTAACACTCTCTTGCTAATGTGGAGAGGACATGCAACACGAGTAGAAATTTTCGAATGATTTCATTGGATCGAATCAGAAGCAGTCTGAATATATTTGTTGGTTTACATTTTTAGAATCTGGAAGCTGCCAAGTTGTGTATATAAATTCTTTAGATGTGTATAATAAATAACCAAGAAAACATGCATGCTGATATTCATACTGTGGCTTCTCGTGTCCTTTTTCTATTTTTTACCTGACCTACTTCGGACTAAAATTATTGTTAACAGGGTTACGGTACACTTTTAATGGAGGAGGCAGAGCGTATTGCTTGCACAGAACACAGATCAACAAAAATAGCTGTAATTTCAGGGGTGGGTACTCGCCATTATTACAGGAAACTGGGATATGAGCTTGAAGGACCATACATGGTGAAATATCTTGTGAAAAAACACTAGTTATTTCGTAAGTAATTTTGTAGCATGAGTTAATTATATGTTTTATGTGCCAATCACAAGACATTTGTGCAGAGGTTCCCTAACGCCCACGCCCCCTACCCCCAATGTTCTATCAGCAAAATTGATTTTCATAAAAAAAAAAGTGGAATCCATTGTATTATTTCTCAACTATTTCTTTTCAACTTTTTGTTTTCTTATTTCTCATCAAATCAATCAAATTACACAATATTCAAAATATATTGTCTTTATTTCTCATCTATTTTATTCTATCAAATAACTAAACATTCAATTAAATTTGGTACATATTTCTCTTTTCTCAACTTATTTTTTTTTTCTTTCCATTCTCTTTTTTGTTTTTGTTTTTTTTTTAAAAAACAACATTAGTTTAACTTATCGAGACACTGAGTTCATTAAACGATAGTTCAGTTCATTTTTCCATACATTTTTTTGGTAATTCAATCTTGAATATCAAACTTCTAAATAACATGTTTAAGAGAGGTAAACTATTCTACTAACAATGTTCAATTATGTTAGTTATATTACGAAATGTCAATTAGATGTTAAACATGTCCAATTTTGATGGCATTTTTTATATAAAGTTAAAATAATCTACTAACAACATTTTTTTTATGTAAAGTTAAACATGTGCAATTCAATGGGATGTTTTGAATTTCCAACTAGAGTTTTAAAATTGATTTAGATTAGGGTTAGAATAGTGCTTGACAGCCTAAAGTCACCCATACATTAGTATTGAGTTGTCAATTTTCGAATATGGTGAAATCATATCCATGATGGACAAAAATAATCGAGTTAGATTGGTTAGACTAATCAAAGCAGGGATTAATATCCTGGTGATTCTGTTATAATATTTGATTCGAGTATGTAATTGATATGATATAATGTGCAAATGACTCTATTTTAGAAATGCAGATTCTCAATGAGACTTTTATTATAAGAATTCAATTTTTATTTAATTTGCATTGGAGAGGGATGAGTTGACTACCACATATAGAATTAGTTCTTATGTAATAATTCTGAAGAACCTTTTTCTAGCTTGACAACAATTTATAAAGAAAAAAATAAAAATAAAATGTAATTAATTAGAGACTTAATTGTTTTTAAAGCAAAAATTTAGACACATTAAAAATCATTCAAATACTTAAATTAAATTTCAGTATTAGAGTAAACAATATTAAAAAAAAATCAATTATGTGTTTATAGTTTATCCGTTAAAAACCCAAAACGAGGAAGGGCTTTTTACCGTAACAGGGTTAAAAACAACCTAATTTTATGAGATAGTATCAAATTTGAAAAAAATTACGAGAATGGGTAAAATGGTACTTAGTGATCAAAACTAAAATTATGTTATTATTACGATTTTAATTATAGGTTGATTTTTTTTGTAATCTTTATTTATTTATTTTATTTAACTCACACTATAGAAACTCTTTGATATATATATATATATATATATATATATATATATATATATATATATATATATATATATATATATATATATATATATATATATATATATATAACCACTTGAAAATATCTCCTCCAAAACTCCTTAAGTAGTAATGGTTAACACCAAATTTTGTCACATAAAAATAATAATAAATAAATATTGAAAAAGTAGAGTAAATTTAATTATATTTAATATTAAAAAAGAAAGTAAAGATTAAAGGTACTAAAAAATAATAATAATAAAAGAAAAAAATAATAACATTTTTTATGCAAAATATTTTTATTATCTATTGTTAAAAATATGTGGACAAATATTTTTTTCCTTTATGTATTTAAAGTTTTTTAATAATAAAAATAAATTAGTGTTTCATGTCATTTGTTGAATTAGTTTTTTAATTCATTGTTTTCCAATATCTTCTCACTTCATGTACCCTCATCTTTTACCTCCTTGGACAGTAAACAAAATTTATTATTCCTATATGTTTCTTAGATGAGAGGATGTTGATGTTTAGGATGCATAGATTGTAGGTGAAAGTAACGAGAGGAAAACAAAAAGAGTAATTAGAGAACTGTTGTATATTCATACTGTATATGTGCCAAAACATACTTATATAAGTTAAGTTTTACGAAAATGAATATATGACAATGTACACATATCTTACAAAATAATTTGAATTGTTTTAGTCTAATTATTTTAATTCAACTACAATTGGTTGTGATGATGGATTTAAGGAAATTTGGTACAATTTTCATTAGTATATTAATGTATGTTATAGTATTATACAAAATGATTTTTTTTAAGCAAATTAAGGATAAAAGAATCTACTGCATGGTTAAGGATAAAAGATTCTTGATTTAGAATTACACATCTATTGATCAATTAAAAAACAATAATAATAAAAAAAATTGAATAAATGTACAATTAGTATTAATAATTAATTTTAAATTAAAATTAATTAAATATAAATTTAAGACTTACTTGGTAATAGTTAAATATTGGCAAAGAAGGATGATATATGCGAAATACTTTTCTATTTTTATAGATATTATTAAAATATTTTTTAAAAAGAAAATTAGTGTATTAATTTACTATTATTTTCTGCAGAGTGTAACTTTAGTAAGTAACTACTTGTATTTTTTTAGTTTTAATATATTTTCTATTTTTCTGATAAAAAAATAATATTTATTATACAACTTAATTTAATAATAATATAATAAATAGTTATTAAAATATAATAATAATATAAAATTTTAAATATTTATTATTACTATTATATTAAAATAAGATGTTAGGAATGTATTTGAGAATAGTTTTCAGGTTCTTGTTATTGTACTTTTCTTCTTTTTACTCAAACATATTAAAGAGAAGTGAGACGTTGATAATTCCCACCAACCCATACATCCTATCAACATCTAATTTTATAATAATAAAAAGTTATATTTTTATATTTATTATAATTTTATTATTTAAAAGAAATTAATCAAAAGTTTAAAAGGAATAGTGGTTTTAGAATATTTTTTGGAATAGTGATATTTTCACATTCACTCATCCAAAAAATTCCTCTAATAACCCCTTTTTATTAATATAATAATGATAAAAAGATTTAATAAAAATAAATTAAAATTATTATTATAATATTAAATGTGAGTTATTTTTGAAAGTTATATGAATTTGGATTTCAAACTATCATCTTCTTTTTGGAAACAAAAAAACACGGTGTTGGAGTCACTCACTCTCTCGTCCCCCACCTTCTTTCTCAACAGTTACATGCATACTCCACCATGCTGAAATCAACCTTCACTCCCATTTTCTGGGTGTTAACCCCCAAACCCAACCCTCAAAATATTCCCTCCAAGGCATTGACCAGAAACTTCTTCACAAACAGCACGCCACTCGTTCGACATAATGCCTCTCTCAACCCCGCCACCCCCTCAACCCCTGCCTCCGCCTACATCCACCTCCCTTTCTGCCGGAAACGCTGCCACTACTGCGACTTCCCCATCGTAGCTCTCGGCTCCGCCTCCACTCAAACTCACCTCGACCCTCGCGTCTCTAACTACATTAACTGGCTCTGCCGGGAAATCACCGCCACCAAAGTGAACCAACCCGCTTCCAGCACGCCCCTTCAGACTGTCTACTTTGGCGGTGGGACACCGTCGCTGGTGCCTCCTGCGTTGGTTTCATCCGTTTTGGAGACTCTGAGGGTAAAGTTTGGGCTTTGTGAGGACGCGGAAATATCGATGGAGATGGACCCCGGCACGTTTGATGCTGAGAAGATGCGGGAGATGGTGGCGTTGGGAGTGAATAGAGTGTCTTTGGGAGTTCAAGCGTTTCAGGAGGAGCTGCTGAGATCGTGTGGGAGGGCACATGGGGTGCTAGAAGTTCATGAGGCTATTGGCGTTGTCAAGTCATGTGGGGTTGAGAATTGGAGTGTTGATCTCATAGCTTCGTTGCCTCGTCAGAGTAGTGAAATGTGGGAGGAAAGTTTAAGGCTCACCATTGAGTCACAACCTACTCACGTGTCCGTTTATGACTTGCAAATTGAGCAAGGAACGAAATTTGGACGATTGTAAGTGGCACTTTTTTTATATGGATATGATCCACAGTATCTCAAAACTGATAAGGTAACCAAACACTAACATGTATTCAAAACTGATAACCAAAAACTAATTTATACTTGTGGGGAAGTGACAGTCCTTTTATGTTGCACTAGTGACAACAAGGTTTTAAGTTGCAGTTGTAATTGCACCTTTATGGTAATCCTTGATATTGTGGGAAATTAAGAACAAAAAACAGTTTACAAGGTTTTAAAAAAGGGTCTGTTAATGCGATTTCGGACGTGGTGTCAATGTTTTTCTGGCTATTCTTACAGCTGCCATTTCTTGCTGTGTCAAGAATAGCGATGAAACTGTGACCACAATTTGAAACCTTGACATCTGATGTGGCCGCAATTAAGGTAGCAGAAACCACATAAAGCTTGACATTGTGGTGACTGAGTATTTTTTAAAACCTAGAGCAATATTGATGGATTTTATTTTCTTTTTATAAATCATTGTAATGATCTGCAACCTGATGGTGGAAATGTTTACAGGTACTCACCAGGGGAATTTCCGATGCCTTCTGAAACACAATCTGCTGAGTTCTATAAGATGGCTTCAAGAATGCTTTCTGATGCGAATTACAACCATTATGAAATCAGCAGCTACTGCAAGAGTGGGTATGAGTGCAAACACAACTTTATCTACTGGAAGAACAAGCCTTTCTATGCCTTTGGCCTTGGCTCTGCTAGTTTTGTTGGTGGGTTAAGGTTTTCAAGACCAAGGAAGGTCAATGATTACATTAATTTTGTGCAGAATCTAGAAAATGGACTAGTAGATAGCTCTGGTGATGGTCACATTCAGGGCAAGGACACGGCCATGGATGTGGTGATGCTGTCCCTAAGAACTGCACAAGGCCTAGATTTGAGGAGTTTCCAAGAATCATTTGGCGGCTCTGCCGTTTTGTCTTTGCTAGAGGCTTATAAACCTTATGTTGAGAGTGGACTTGTGGTTTACTTGGACGAGCAGAGGAGAACCATCAGAATAGATGACCTGAACTATTCTTTTCTGAATAAACCAAATACAGAAAAGAGGGTGGCTTACATAAGGCTAAGTGATCCAGAAGGTTTCCTCTTATCAAATGAGTTAATAGCCCTTGCTTTTGGGGTTATTGACTCTTGGAAGGATTGTTTTCCATACCAAGAAGCAGAAGCTACTTGAAAGCATGAATGATACTATCTAACGATTATTTTGTGCCTGTTTATTTATACATAGGAAATATTCGTTGTAAGGTGGGGATGGATGGATATTCAGGTTCAAACACTAATGATGGGCATCCATACAGTCCATTAAAATAGTCATTTGATCTTCATAACTAATAATAGTTCATGAAATGAGATCAATTATGATTAACATTCAAATGAATAAACAAATTGTCAAAACCTACCTCCTGAGGTTGAGAATCATCTTCTGATGGTAAAACAGCACAAGTGTACAACAAATTCCAAACACAATTTGATATATGGATTTTGCAGAGGGTGGATAAAAATCGAGAGGTACGTAATTGTTGGAAGTAAAGGAAATTGAGATAACTGAGCTATAAAATTAGGAGAACCAATCACCTGTTTCTTCGTATAGAGCACACTTTTACTGTTTCTCGTCTTTTTGTCCCTCCTGATTTATCTCATTTTCTTGCTTTTTTTTTTTCACATTACTTGTATGTTCATGGTTATGTTTAGGTATCCTAGCATGATTCAGTTGACACTCCTTTATTCTCAATCTTAGGACCACAATGCTCAAGCTAAGAGTATTTTTAATGCTATTTATTTCTCACTCCTTATATTCAAGAAACCGTTTTTTTATAAGAATTTTACTACTAGAAATAGGTACGGGACATTGAAGGTTTCTTTCCTTAATATTTCTTAAATGTTTGTATTGATTTCTTATAAGAAGTGAAAATATACCGTCGGACCACCAAATGTACTGAAAAGTTCATTTGGATTTCTCTCATCCAATATGTATTAATATTTGCACAATTTACTCTGTATTTATTGTAATTATTATAACTTCAACCAAACACGAGTATGGTATTAAAGTCATTCGTTGCTAGCTGAACAGAACCTGAGTAATAATTGTTGAAAGCTTGTGTCTGGATCTAGTTTTATCTTTTTGAAACTTGGACAGCCATAATCATCATCAGTGGTTGATAAAGTTGGGAAGATGTGCTACTGCATCTTTTGATTTACTGACCTTTCCTTCAAACATTTCTCTTCGAATGATGGTGTCGATGAAGGAATTGTAGAGAATTTTGATGGATCTGTCAAGGAAATTAAACTCGACCTAAAGTTGGTGCCTATATTCAAGATGCTTCCAAGGGGTTGTTCTATGCTAAACAAAGGTAATCTATATTATTCATGCCACAACACTTTGAGAAAAGGAATGTGAACATACATACTAGATTGAGAAAATTGTTTAGTCTGCTATCAAAATGCTGATCAATAAAATTTTCATCTTCCTCATCCCTGAACAACATATTCTCATGGTGAAGCCCACACTTGGTGGTGGAGGTTGGTCTAATAAGTTCACACTTGCAAAAAAATGTGTTGGAAGTAGTCCGTCCCAATAGCAACCACTCTCCTCTAAAACCCACGTACTACAAGGGTCGGCAAACCGTAATTTTTTTTTTCAATTAAAATATAATCACTACACACATTATGGTGTCCAAATAATCAAATTTAAATTCAACCAATATCCAAATATAAAATAAAAAAGGCTTAAATGCCCATAGTATATTTCTCAATTTTGTATTTTGTCTTTCATAAATTTTTTCTTTATTTTTTGTATTCGATAAAAATTAGTCATTATCGTTTCCTTCGATTACTTTACTGCTCACCTAGGCTCACATGGTCATTAAAGATGTAAATGAAGTTATCCTTGTATTTATGTTTTATATTTTTAAGTCTTAAATATTATTTACATATCTGATATGCTTGATAATCTATATATATATGTAGTTAGACATGAGTGTTGATGTCATTATTAAAGTTGTAAATCTACTTATCTTTTTTTTTAAGCTTTAAATATGTTCATGATAATTTTTAGTTTTTCATTTGGTCTATGATGAATTTGTTTGTTGTTCTTACTCTTGATAAAAGAAAAAAATCTTTTTATTCTCTATTATTTCTACATGAGGGTTAATATTAGGGAATTTTAGTACATTTATTATGACAATACTATCACATTTTCAGCTCATAACAAGATCATTCTTATTAAGATAACTTTATATTTTTCTAGTTTTCTCATAATAATTATGGTAGCTACGTCACTATCAAATACTAATTCTTTCAAACGCAGGTCATTCTCTTTCACCCTAACTTCCACGGCCACTGCATATTAGGTCATCCTTTACCTTGTGTTTGGACTGGGGTATTGAGAGAATGTAAAAAAGAACAATAATAAAAATAAAAATAAAGTTGTTTGATTTAAAAGAAAGAGTGTGAAAACTTGAGAAGAAATGACTTAAAAGATTGGAACTCAAAAGATTGATTTAATTGATTAAAAAACATTAAATAATAAGAAAAATTAATTAATGAACAAAGTATCATTATGTATTTTTTATAAGAATAAATATAAATATAAATTAAATATAATTTAATATAAAAATAATTATTTAATAAAATAGATATAAATAAATTAAAATTAAAATTATTTTATATATAAATTGAAAATAATTTTCAATATTATATATATTTATACTTTTTAATTTATTTTTAAAATAATTTATAAATAATATTAAATTATAGAAATTATTTAAAAAAACTATAGTGTAAATATGATATAATTATTTTTAAAATTTAAAATAATATTAAAAAAATAAATTCTTTAAATAAATAATATAATTTAGTATTGAGTATTCTTGTATTATTTTTTTAAAAGTAATGTAACCTAACTAAAATTCATTCAATATTAGTACAAGTATCTTAGTGTATTATTTTTATTATACTTTAATTTCTATTCTTAAAATTAGATATGACCAAATTTAATTTGGATGATTTTATGTTCATTTTAAAATTGTTTAGTATAAACTTTAAAAAATATAATTAATCTTTTAAATTCATGTTTTTTTTTACTTTAAAAATCAATTTCGCGGGGGATATTAGTCAAAGATTTAAGAAACTTTAAATTTTATCTGATTGATTTTTCAATTCTTTTATTATGTTGTATAAACTTGTCAATTTTAATAAATATAATATTTATGCATATTTCTCTATATTTTATATAAAAAAGTATAAATAATAACAAAAATTTTATTAATATAAATATTGATACAATGAATAACTTACCTTATTATCTCTTAATCAATCAATCTCTCTCTCTCTCTCTATAATATATATATATATATATATATATATATATATATATATTAATATTAGAGATAACTTAATTTTTCTATAAGTAGTTTTCATATATTATTATACATAGTCACTGATTATTTTATTGAATTTTTTTTGTAATAAAATATTCTAGCATGAATAATTTAATTTCAAAATTAATATTTATTTAAAATTTTGTAAAGAAAATATATATTTTTAACAAGAATTATGTGACTTGATATTTAAATGTTTTTTTTAATAAACATAATCACATATAAGAAGGGTATTATGGACAATTTATCATGTTAAGTTGGTTTTCCTGCGAACTCATGGATTTGAAAGAGAAAGATACAATTGTGGAATCTATTATTCCATCTCAACTACTTCATTTATTTATTCTTACGGGTTTTTAAGTAAGTGATTGTCTTTTGAATTAGTTTGCATTTTACTAGTTCTTCTGTTGAGTTAATTGTAATTTGTAAACTGAATTTGAAAAATAGTGAATTGGGATCACTCTTGTGATTAGAGTTGATCGAGAACTGGATGTAAGATTGACTATACCCAAACTAATATAAATCTCTGTGTGATCTTCTCTTCCATGTACTGTCCTTCTCTTCTCTATAATCTTTCTCTTTATCTATCTGATTATATTGTTTCTGCTTTATCTGTGTTTTATCTGATAATTAAAATTGAATTAATAAATTATTGGACATCTTAAAATAAATTCTTAATTTGGCATCTAATTTAAGTTGTGCATCTATTCACCCCCTCTAGATGTCATTTGTCTAACAAGTGGTATCAGAGCTTGATTAGATAAGATATTTCTAAACGATTTGTCAAGATGTCTATACAAAATCAGGTTTACAGGGAAGGAGCCTCAATAAACAAACAACCATTATTTGAAGGAGAATACTATCAGTTTTGGATGACGAGAATGAAAATATTTTTACAAACACTAGATTATGGTGTTTGGGATGCTGTACTCAACGGTCCCTACATTCCGATGAGAACAATGGAGTCTGGAGTTGTTCCAAAGACTTTTGACCAATGGACACCGAATGAAAACAAGCGTGCCCAATATGATGTAAGAGCCTAAAATGCTATTGTTTCTGCCTTAACTCATAATGAATTTTTCAGGGTCTCACAATGCAAGACGACAAAAGAAATATGTGACACTCTTGAAGTGACACATGAAGGAACAAATGAAGTAAAGTGAGCACGTAAGAACACACTCATCTAGAAGTATGAATTATTTCAAATGCAGCAGAATGAAAGTAACATGAATTTCCAGACATGCTTCACATATATAGTAAATCACTTGAAAGCATTAGGAAAGAGTTTTGACAATGAGGAATTGAACACAAATATCTTGAAATCCTTAGACAGGAATTGACAATCAAAGGTCACTGCTATTACATAATCAAAGAATCTCATAGAAATGAATATTGCTACTCTATTTGGAAAGCTGCGAGAGCATGAGATGAAATGTTAAGTGGTAAAAAGTTGATATAATTATGCCTTGAATTGTTATGAAACCACTTAACTTATGTTAATTCTAATATATTTTTCACCCAATATAGGATAAATTCGAGAATACCTTGATACAAGAGTAAGGAACACAATTGTCAGCATAATTGGAGTAAAATTAAAAGAAAGAAGAACGCTTAAGCGAATGAAAGATGCGAGGCCCGACCCAAATTCTCTTATAAAAAGATAAGTTGTGTTTTGAGAAAAGGAAACAGTCTTGGAGAAGAGGAGACACGACTACTGTTAGGGTTTCGTCTAATCTTCATCAATTCTTCACTTCTTCATCAATTAGAGCATTGTAATGACCAACATGAGTGGCTA